TGTCTAAACTTGCTAAGGATTGCCTCCTAAAGTTGGAAAATGATTGTCTAAGATCTTGACTGTGGGCAACAAAGGCTTAACCCCCTTACTATCAAGCAGAAAGTAAGGTTCCTGGGACAATCTTTTCAATAATTTGGTACATTTGCCAGAATAAAACGAACAAACAAGTAATTCAAACAGACTACCTGCTTAACTATTAAATGATTCATTAAGTGTGTTTGTATAATAGAATGTCTGATAATTTCAACTCTTAATTTTAGTCTATGTAAATAATGTGGTAGTCCTTTATACAACTTTCTCCCCAAGGTATCATCACTTATATTTTTGGCAAAGGTATACTTACTTTCCATAGCATTTGAACATGCTGTGGGCTGCTTTTTTACTGTTCGTTCTATGCTGGATTGGGGCAAGGAGTACTTTTACTGTAGATGAATATTTTTCATATCGTACTGTTTTCAGATTATGCTTTTGTGGTGTTTTTATTTAAACTAGGCTAATTATGATTTATTTTGACTTTTTTCAATTATATTGAAAATATAATTGAATTTTTCAATTGTATTTCAATTTATATTTGATTTTTTCAATCATGGATCTCTATGCTTAAGTACGTTGTGGTGGGAGGCAATGCATAAAATTAATAAGTAAAATTTACAGATACTATAGAGATTATAAAATATAGAAGAGATTTATTTTATTTTATATTGTCTTATTGTTAAACCATCCCGAGACCACGGTAAGGGACGATCTGGAAAAGTTTCAAATAAATACTCTTTTTGTGTTCCATTAAAATGGATTTGCCTATTGAACAAATTGCTAGTGGTGGTTTATTAATAGATTCATTGTGTCACTTACCACAAGCTGAAACTTGTGATACATTTTTTATATTACTATTCCATGTATTTTAATACAGGTGCTGATACTATGGCAAAGGTGCTGGATGAGAGCCCCAAACTATTGTGCCTGGGTTACCTGTTTGCTTTCTATAGAGCTCCCAACAAAATATGCCTATTATTGCTAATAATGCAGCACAATTCTACACATGTCTGTTTCGACATCTCTATAGACTTCAATGGTATTTTCATCCCTCAATACAATTTACTAGAAGATAAATCCACTGAATTCTATCCCACAGACATGTATATTTGGAGCATCTAACCCAGATTTCAGTAGAAGCAAAGCAAATGATGCTCACTTGCCTCCCTCAAGTGAATGCTAGTCATAAAGGAAACAGTCAAGGTAATTTTATATAGAAGAGTCTTTGAACGGGGAAATGAGGTTGCTGTATGCCCCTTTTTGTTTTATTTTCTTCGAGCTGCTGTTTAATCCGGCTTACTCCACTTTTTCGTGATATTTTTGTAATGCATGCTTAACTGGGATTAACTTTTTTTTAAAGTATTGTGGAAGAGCAAATCAGACTATTTGAAATGAAGCAACAGCGCTGTGATGGGGTTCCTTCTGCGGAGACGGAGCTATCCATCCGCAAGTCCGCGATCTGAGTTTCATCTCAGGTCCTGGGCCCGGCGTGACCTCAGGCGCGCTGCTCTCCGCCTCTTCCCTATCAACCTACACTGTGGGGATAACGAAACTTACCCTACAGGGTTGTTGCACGGACCAGCCAGATTACGCAAAGGGCTTTAAGCGTTTGCTACCACGGGCCCTTTCCCTGCCTTCCCCGCTCTCTGACAGAGCGCGGCCGCGGCCACCGGCACTCCGCACCACGCCCCTGCTCCTCGTCCCATGCGGTAACGACACTTGGAATTAAACGTTAGTGCCTCGTTAAAGGCCCGCAACAGCCCCACCGACGGTCTCTGCCGCACTTGTCACACGCCCTCCGGCGCCATCTCCCTCAGCAGCAGCCCCGCTCCCGCCTAAAGCGGCCAACCGCTCCCGCGGCTCCCTCGGGCCAATGGCGGCGCCGCCTCACCGCCTCCGGAGGGGGAAGAACCCGGCAGAGCCCGTGGGGGCGGGGAACGGTGCGGGCGGCCGCCCTTTCTCGCCTCCTCGCTGCGCTCCGCTGCGCGTAATCGCAGGAGTTGGTGGTACTATACAAATTGACCGACGTTCGGCCTCCCTAAATAATGTGAGTGGGAGGTAGGATTAGAAACTTACTAGCAGTATTCTGCTTGGAGTTACAGAGCAGCTGGTATGTTTCTCCCACACCTTTCCTTTGCACCCTCTGAGGCAGGTTAGGCCATTCTCTGCTCTGCTCCGCTGGGCACTCAGTTTACAGACTATAGAAGTAGTCAGATTCCAGGTTACAAGATCTAGTTCTTTTTTTTTTTTTTTTACTTAAAACACTATGATTCTGGCCAGGAGTTAAGAAACAGCTGGAGGGATAGAGCACTGTAAAAGTTAATGATTTTAAATGCACCAGGCCAAGACCTTTTTATTTAAACGACATTTTAACTGTTAATTGTTATCTGTATTTATTGGTTTTATAATCTGCCGAGATGTATCCGGATTTTAAGGTTTATTTTACAGCTGTCTGTTGCTTTGTAAGCCGCCCCAAGGCTTTTTGTGAAGGGGGCAGCATAAAAATGCTTTAAATAAATAAATAAATGCTGCAGGAGGTGGGACAAGTTAACTACCATGTCACATGGGTTACCTACATGTACAAATCTAGGTCTAAGTAACACTAAATCAGAGGCTTTTTCTGTTAAAAAAAGCCTAAGGCCAGAGCCTGATTCTTAAACCTTGTCCAGAAGAGCTGTCAAAGGCAAGCAGTGACTAATACATTCTTGGGCAAAGTTCTCAAGTGGATGGTAGCTGAACAACTCCAGACATTCTTGGAGGGAGGGATGACGTTTACTGAGAGGAGGACAGGGGGAATGTGTCCCTGTGGCTTTTGATACCATTGACCATGTATCCTTCTGGAGAGGTTGGCCCAAGTGCTTCCACTCCTACTTGGCCAGCAAATTCCAGAAGATGGTGCTGGAGGATTATGGCTCTGCAGCCTGGCAATTATGCTATGGAGTCCTACAGGGTTCCATTTTATCCCCCATGCTGTTCAACATCTATATGAAACTGCTGGAAGAGGTCATCTGGAGGTTTGGACTGAGGTATCACCAATATGCTGATGTTACCCAGCTCTACCTCTCTTTTTCTTCTAATTATTTATTTCCAATTTATATCCTGCCTTTTTCCTACAAAGGGCTCAAGGCAGCTTACATCATTCTCCTCCTCCATCTTATCCCCACAACAACAACCCTGTGAGGTAGGTTGGGCTGAGAGTTTGTGACTGGCCCAAAGTCACCTAGTTGGCTCGATGGCTGAGCGGGGCCTAGAACCCAGATCGCCTGAGCCCCAGTCCCATGCTCTTAACCACTACAGCACACTGGTGATGACTGTTCTGAATCAGTTCCCGGATGGTGTGATAGTCTGGATGTGGGCCAATACATTGAAATTTAATCCAGATAAGATGGAGGTTCTGTTGGTGAGATCCAGCTGTCCCAGTAAGTTTATATCTGCCCTGTTCTGGACTGGGTTGCACTCTTCCTAATGGGCAGGCTTTGTAGTTTGGGAGTGCTTCCTGACCCAGAGTTATCTCTGGAATCCCAGGTGACTCCTGTGATGAGCAGCACTTTCCATCAGCTTTGACTGTTTCATCCACTGTGTCCTTACATGGATGGGCAGAGCCTAGCAACAGTAATCCACATGCTGATAACCTCCCAAATGGACTATTGTAATGGGGCTGTCCTTGAAGATGGCCAGATACTTCAGTTGGTACAGAACAGAGCTGCAAGATTGCTCACTTGGACTAGCAGATGTGACCACATAACACCAGTGATATATCATCTTCATTGACCACCAGTTCAAGCAGAATTTCAAGGTGTTAACTTAAAGCAGAATTTAAGGTGTTAACTTTGATATATATAAAGCCCTAAAAAGTTTAGGCCTGGAAATTTGAAGGAATGTTTCCTTCCATATACATTTTCCCAAACTCTAAGCTCCTCCACTGAGGTCCCTCTTTAGGAGACCTGTCTGAAGGAAGTTAGAAGATTAGCTATTCAGAGAAGAGCCTTTTCTGTGGTAGCACCCAGGCTTTGGAATCTGCTTCCCAGAGAGTTGCACCTGGAACCAATGCTTTATTCTTTTCAGCACTAAAACCTTTTTATTTACCCAGTATTATAAGGGTTGTTTTTATCATATAATTGGAATTATTTCATTGTATACTTTAATATGCTGTATTTGTATTTTAATGTGCTGTTATGTTTCTAGTTTGTAAGCCATCTTGAGATTCATTTCGGATAAGGATGGGATAGAAATGTTTTCAGTAAAATAAATATCATTCAAACCCAGATCACATGAACAATCATGATTCCAGCCCAACAACAAGTATCTCAAAATAGTTATTTATTGCATTGCCAGTATTATTAGTCAAAAGGCTAGAGAAGAGTCATAATATTGTATCATGCCAGTCAAGAAGTTCATGTAGTGTGCATAACCATCACAGATCCAGGTGCTTATGCCTTTAGCGGTTGAAGTGATCACAGTCATGAGCTGCCTGACCTTTCCCCATCTTGGTGCCAGAGAATATCTGTTTATCTCCCAAGGAATGTGTCTCTTTTAAAGAATCATTTATTTTCCTTGGAGTGAAACCCTCCTTCCCCATCACCTTGAAGTTATCCACTAATCTTTCTGCCTTTTTTACTTTTCTGAAAACCAGGAGTTCATTGCACCAATCACACAGCCACAATGTCTGTCCAGCAGGCAGATAATCCCACATGTAAAACTGGAATACACAGGACACCCTCTCCAAAGCATCTTGTTTTGTTTTTAATTGTATTCATTTACCTGGAAAGCTACATTATTTACTCTCAGAAGAGTCTGTTGCACTGGCTACCTCATCCCGTCTGCCTGGAATTCCCTGGTGGGCATCTCAACTGTTTTACCCTGTTAACTCCTCTTCAAGCTTTCCTATTGTCCCACATTCAAACAAGCAAACAACCCTGTTTGCTGGTCCTGTTCACTCTCCTTCATGTGTTTCCTGGAACTGGCAGGCTATTTACTGAGCAAGATAGGTACTCATCTGCTTAGAAACACTCCTTTTGCTTCTAATTAGAAGCATAGCATTCTGATATTTTTTCAGGTGCAATTTTCTTTGGCCAGACATATTTGTGCTATACCAATGGAAACCATCCTTAGTCATCAGTCTTTCCTTACAAGTTTCCCTTTCCCTTTTTTTAATTAATTAAAAAACTGTATGCAGCCAGATTCTATTTTTTTAATTAGTCAAAAAGCCTGGCCAGCAGTATCAGTATCATAGTGCTTTTGGACAATACCACAAAGTGACACTTGGATTCTATGGATACATTATTTACTAACATGGTTTCTGTTACCTATCTTCAGCTCCACCAATTCTAAGCATGTATTTCAAATAATGTCATTTGCATCTTTGTTATTCATAGATTCAGCTATAGAGCTGTTTTTGCCAATGACAGTCTTCTTTGTCTCAGGTATCTTGTTGTGCTGCTTTGGAAGGAACTGCTGATACAGAACAAGCTTTTTTGTAGCAAAATTATATGCTGCCCCATAATTACGTGTTTCTGAGAGACTTAGAATTAAAAAAAATTAAATTCCAATCCAAAATAATAAAAAATGGAAATGCGGCATAACACAATAAGGAGCAGAGAATAAAATCAAAAGAGTATTTTATTTATCTATTTATTAGTTTTATAGTCTGCCTTTTTTCTTTTTTTTTAAAGAACTCAAAGCAGCTTACAACATTCTCCTACTGCTCTCAATCTTATCCTCATAACAACGTCCCTGTGAAGTAGGTTGGGCTGAGAGACTGTGACTGGCCCAAAGTCACCCAATTGGCTCCATGACTGAGCAGGGACTAGAACCCAGATCACCCAAGTCCTAGTCCCACCCTGTTAACCACTACACAATACTGGTTCTCATTAATGATTATGTAGAAGATGGAGGTATGTAAGTAAGGCAGGTAAGGAGCAAGAGGCTGTCTCTTACACAAGCAGAACAAGGCTTTCAAGCAACACAAAGAAATCTCTATATATTCAAGTTCCAATTCCATCAAGTCTTTAAAACAAGGGTCTCCTACATTGTGTTTGTGGGCATCCTTGGTGCTTGTTAGGCTTCATGCCATTCCATGATTTTAAAAGCTTTTTTCCCCTGGGAAAACAATGTAGATACTGGCCTGTAACAAAACAAAATGCCAGCCTACAGCACCATCTTTAGTTCCAAGAAAGCATCTGGCCTTTACAATGGCTACAGAAGGACTCTTAGAAAATAAAAATGGTGAGGGGAAACTAGCTTGTCAGTGAGCATGATGTGACAATATAATTTTATAATTTCTGGGCTTATTTTATTATTAATTATTTCAATTTGTATTCTGCTGCACTAGCCTATATCTGGGCTCTCAGTGCGGCTCACAATACTGACATTGATAATTGCTAATTCCACCAATTCAAAAATACTGCATCCACAAAGGGGACGCAGCAAGGACTAAGCTGGCAGTATGGAAAAATACCAGATCTCACTGCTTCCATAGCTGATACAAGTGACAGTTCAAAGTATTTGAGTAAAGGAGGAGGAACTGTCAAGGCAAAAGGCAGCACAAAGACAAAAAATGGGCAAGTGACAAATGTTCTGTCAAAGGACATAGATGTGCCAGCAACTCAGAGCACATTTGGCAGAGAACACGGTTTTTGCTCCACAGAAAGAGCTCTTTCCATTAGAAGCAAAACTAAAGGCAGTTTCTGCACAATTTGCAGAGATTTCAGCCACAGCAAATGAATCTAACTCTGGCACACAGCTCAAAAATATGGCTAGATTGTAGCTGGACCTGGAGGAGCAGGACAGAAGTTGATGTTACCATATGAAGAGGATGTAGGGGCCCTTTATTATGT